TAAGTAAAGGAGATACATGGTTGATGATTCCGAAATTAGTTGATTCACAATTCATTTTCACATTAATTCTTCTTTTAATTACTACTATTAAAATAATCTTTAATGAAACTTTTCTTTTTTTTATTTCTCTCAGTTATAAACTGAACGGAAAATCTGGACAACCAAATATCAAATATTATTAGATATTTTCATCAGATATCAATTGCTCTGAAACTATTTAAACCAGTTTAATTTGTTTTATTATAAACGTAATATTTAGTTTATATACTTGTTTGATTAGACATCTTTCTCTTTAAAAAGTATGATTTTCGTCTACCAGCCTGGATTGTTTAATAAAGGCACAGATCCCCTTAAATACTAAATATAACCTTTATATAGTAACGAGAAATTTATTTTATTTTCATTTCCCAAGCATAACAACGCACAACTTTGTATAAATATTTATATTAATGAACAACATATAGTTTTGTATTACTTGCACACCCTGAAGATGATCTTGGAAAAAGATCGAAAGTACTTGGAAAATGAAAATAAATGAAATTTAAACAGCTATAGCACATTTCTCTCATCCTGCAAACATCAATACACAGAAGGTTATTTGTGAGTATGAACGGATTTTATTAAAAATTGACAGACATAATGTCTGTAATTTTTCAATCAGACATGCCTAAAAAGAAAATATATATATATATATATATATATATATATATATATATATATATATATATATATATATATATACAACTTACCAAATTGTATTATTATTACTCTGTATATATATATATATATATATATATATATATATATACAGAGTTATAATAATACAATTTGGTAAGCCGTATGGAATTTCAGGGGGATATAGATCCAGTGTGAGGTTTATGTCAAAGACAGAAGAAAATGATTAATAATTAATGAATATCAAACACTTAAAATCCCTTAGGTAATAATTTTTATTTCTATTTTATTTTTTAAAGCGCTCATGAAATAAAAATGACCTATTTGATTTTAAGTGTTTGATATTTATTAATTGATAATATATATTACAAACTCAATAAGCACCGCACATATATAATATATATATGTAGAAAATATATATATATATATATATATATATATATATATATATATATATATATATATATATATATATATATATATATATATATGTATATTTGTGTCTGTGCTAGTTATATATATATGTATATACTAGATATATATTATTAATATATACTCATATATACTAGTTATATTATATATATATATCTCTATATATATATGTGTATATTTGTGTCTGTGCTAGTTATATATATATATATATATATATATATATATATATATATATATATATATATATACTAGTATTTACATTAGTCGGACTATTGTCCTCATCTTTGTCGCCATATTTGTCACAACTAATGTAAATCCGACTATTTGTCCGACTAATGTAAATACTGTACATAATACCTCATCTCAGAAATATAGACAGATGTATATACTAGTTATATATTATAAATATATACACATATAAACTAGTTATATATATATTATATTATATGCGCAGTACGTATTGGAAAGTGCACAATATCGGTGATAGAGCTAACATATTTAGTTGTATGGATATGAGTATGTGACTTTGGGATTCAGATTTTCGATCATCAAACAAATTGTTTAATGATCGCAAAATCATGAAAACAGGGTCACAAACTCATATCCATACAACTGAATATATATATATATATATATATATATATATATATATATATATATATATATATATATATAAATACAAAAGAGAGAATTTTCGTTGATTCATTTTTTACGTCTTATCAATATTATACACGTTATTTAAAGCCAGAAAATATATTTTTACAGGAATAATAATTAAGCGATCCAAGTCCTACTAATTAGCCCATAACTGGGGGGAAAAGAGTTGGATTCAGACCTTTTTCAAGTGCGTAAATGAATATAACGAACCCAACTGGAATTAGAACTCGGCTTAACGATTAACAATTCCGTGCCATTATCCATCAAATGAACGCACATCCAAGCGTACAGCAGCTGGTCGCCCTGGGTCTGACGATAAACTACATCCACGTCCTGGGTAAGACGATAAACTACATCCGGCAGTAACGCCTTTGATCAGGAGGTTTTTTGTGGTGCGTGGAACCACATCTTAATTGCTTGTGTTTCCAGGTCCTTCCTGACCCGAGTTGGTAGCACCTGTTAAGCTCAGATATGGACAAATAGTTAACCCCCAAACTCGGGTCAAAACGTGTAAAAATAGGTTTTAATAATAGCAAATCTTTTTGTAAAAAAATATTACCACCAATACTTTTTGGGAAAAATATTGCCAGTAAAACTTTTTTAGAAAAATGTTACCAGAAATGTATTTTTGGAAAAAAATATTACCAAAATTAATTTTTGAAAACAATATTACCAGCAATAAAAATATTGTCGGCATTAAATAACATATTAATGTTGATATGCCGTAAAATAAACCAAACAGCAGCTGGTATTCCGAAGCGGTCACCATTTGAGATACTGACGAGGCTCGACGTTGCTTAACTTCGGTGATCGTATGGGAATTGGTGTTTCAACGTGGTATGGCCAAAACAGAGAATTAATAAAGAAATCTGTAGGTAATGAATACGAGTTGTGAAAAGAAAACACAGAGATGGTAATTACTTTATTTGTTTGTCATAAAAAAAGGGCGGTGAGAAGGGATGTAAGTCTTTATTACAATTCCCCCGCCCAAGAAAACCACATTTAATAACATTACTTATGAACACGGCCATAATGCACTGGCCGTATTTGGAAATTAAGAATCCGTCGACCGACAGCAATTTTTAAATAATCTACGATAGGACTTGACATCTATTTACAGTATTTAGTATAACAAAAAATAATCAATGAAAATAGTGAATTGTTTGACCGAAAGCACTCGGGCAAATGAAATTTCGGAGAATATTTTAAATTCATTACGTCCAGAAAAGAAGATATTTGTATCTATACAAGAAAAGCATAATAACAAAGTTACAAAAACAACAAAATTACTTTGTCAGTCTTGCTCAACGAAACCTGTATTCAAGAGGGATTGCCGACCAAATACATAACTCTATCTCAGTCTGTTTGTTTATTTCTATCTATCTATCTATCTATCTATCTATCTATCTATCTATCTATCTATCTATCTATCTATCTATCCAATTCTGATTCTCTATCTATCTATCTATCTATCTATCTATCTATCTATCTATCTATCTAATTCTGATTATCTATCTATCTATCTATCTATCTATCTATCTATCTATCTATCTGCTTATTTCTATCTATCTATCTATCTATCTATCTGTCTGTCTGTCTATCTATCTATCTGTCTGTCTGTCTGTTTATTTCTATCTATCTATCTCAGTCTGTTCCTATCTATCTATCTATCTATCTATCTATCTATCTCAGCCTGTGTATTTCTATCTATCTATCTATCTATCTATCTATCTATCTCAGTCTGTGTATATCTATCTATCTATCTATCTATCTATCTATCTATCTATCTATGTTTATATCTATCTATACAGCTAGCTATCTCAGTCGGTTCATATCTATCTATCTATCGATCGATCTATCTATATCAAGTTTTAAAAATAAGGAAATGTTAATTTTACGTCTTAAATGTAAACACACAAGAAAATATGTAATCCACAACAAAACTTTGGTTTGTGAACAATTCAATTTTTAAACACTTTCTACCTTTGTATATATTGAACCATTATGCTGAGTTTCGCTGTGGGTTTAAATAGAAATTGTCCGATGTTTGACTATGTTCAACTTCTTTCATAAGTCATTATATATATATATATATATATATATATATATATATATAATATTTTATTATAATAAATTACAATAAAAACATTTGGATATATATATATATATATATATATATATATATATATATATATATACATACACATCTATATATCTATCCCTCTCTTTCTCTCTCTGTATCTCTCCCTCTCTCTCTCTCTCTCTCTCTCTATATATATATATATATATATATACATAGATATATAGATATATATCTTAAGAAAGAAAAAACAGATGAATTTAGAATCCACAGTTCTTAGCATTTACTTTTTTTAAAAATGTGCTTAATTCAAGATAAATCAAAGTATTATAAAAATTATAATAAAAATTTTTTTATATATATATATATATATATATATATATATATATATATATATATATATATATATATATATATATATATATATATATATATATATATATATATATATATATATATATATATATATATATATATATATATATATATATATATATATATATATATATATATATATATATATATATATATATATATATATATATATATATATATATATATATATATATATATATATATATATATATATATATATATATATTTATATATATATATATACATGTTTCATTGAATATGACGAATAAAGAAATTTTATGCTTGTTTTGTTCAGTCTTTCTAATGTTCTTACAGTTTTTCTTTTATGGAAACTAAGATAGTGGAGACACTGTCCAACTGTCTATTATTGTCTTAAACGCTTTAAGCCAATTCGTTAGTCATTTTCAAGGAATTCATTGTTAGGATCTTTTTCTGTGTATTATGTAGAATTAGTAATTACATTTTAAGGATGCCTCTAAAACACCATTAACTCGTTTTTCTCGGTTTCAAAGAAGGTAAGATTTCGACTTGGCTTTAAAAGTTATATATATATATAAAGTGCTTCAGTTTTTTTTTAAATGTTTTTTTCAATTCTATTTTCTTACAGTGACTCCTTGAAAATGAATTGGCTGAAATCACTTGGTACAGTAATCGCTAGAGACCTTTTCTACACATTCTAAGTTGTCTTAAAATTCTTTCTCTCATATATATATATATATATATATATATATATATATATATATATATATATATATATGAAGAAATATAGTTTTTAAGGTGT